TTGAACCAATGTTCATCGAATATACACCACAAACACAATATTGAGAAAGAGAGAGAGAGAGAGAAAAGGATTGCGTGTTTCAGGCAGATGAAAACGGAAGAACGATGATGATAGAAGGGTTTTTGTGTCATTGTTTCAAGTTTTTTTTTTTCTTTTTCAAAAAAAAAAAAAAAGGCGTAAATCGCCGTCCCCAGACCGCAATTAAAGTTGGTAACACTGATTTGTTTCGGTTAAAGAATCTCTCAACGATTATGAAATTCAACTAATAATTATTTTTGATACAAAACTTTGTTTTTTTTTCTTTTTTCTTTCTTTGCTCCACAATGAAAGGAACAAAGAAATCCTTGATCAATGTCTAGACGGGAAGAAAAAAAAATTATTCAAAATTGAAAATAATTTTTCCCATCAAACTGTTTTTCAATTGTTTTAATTAATTTAAATCAATAATTAATAATTCGAGAAGATCATAAAAATTAACAACGAATAATGAAAAAGAGAAAAAAACGAGTATTCCAAATCCAAAAGTATGAAGATAAATATTTTCCCTTTCTGAAACAGAAGAGCTTTGATTAAAAAATAATACTAGCAACAGAAAAAAATCGAAATATGAAGATCATTTAGCAAAAAGTCCTGAAACAGAAGAAATTGATGAAAAAAAAAATCAAATTTTCCACAAATTCGTAATAAAAAATTAATTTGAAAATTTGAAAAATATGGAAAAAGAAATATTTAAAATAGAAAAAATTGATAAAAAAAATCAAATTTTCCACAAATTCATAATAAAAAATTAATTTGAAAATTTGAAAAATATTTAAAATAGAAAAATAAATTTTTTGTCTATTAATTTTATCAAAATTTGTAAAATTTTCAACACCATGTCTCATTTTCATTGATTGTGTGCGTTTTGTTTTTGACGCTTGTTAAAGTTATATTTTAACGTTAAGGAAAACTTTTCAAGATCGTTTTAACTCACCCGATATTTTAACACCGCTATAGGGATATTTTATGAGCGCGTTACGTCACAAGCCGTCCGCGCCATAACTCATGCGGAGGAGTCTAAAGAGTCTGTTTTCTATTATGTCGCGGTTTAAATCTCTTAACTCTTCTTTCTAATCCTGCGAGGCCGCGAGGACTATATAACAAGATATACTTAACATTAAATAACACTCTTCAATTTTATTCGCAAACTCATTTCTATAAATATTATTCAAAAAAAATTACAAATTTAAAAAATTCAATAAATTAATTTAAAAAATTAATTTAACTCTCTAAATCTGTTTTACTAATTCAAAAAGAGAAAATTTGTAATATTAAATTTAACTTCAGATTTAAAACAACAATTTAGAAATATAAAAATATAAAATACAATTTTAAATAAAGATATTTATGTATTTCACTAATTGGATATTGTAAATAGATTTTTGTATATTAAGAAATATATTTTTGTCAAGCTCCTGCGGCTCACTTAAAAAGAGCGAGTCTTTCCTTCAATAATATAAAAATCGAAAACATTTAAAAGCTCTAAAGAAATTGCCCAGAGAGACGAAATGAAGTCAACTTTATAAAATAGTTTGCAAATGCCGTGCCGTCATGCAGTTACAAAAGAGAGAAGTATATACGTATGGTACGTGCCTACAACACAAAATAACGAATAATAAAAAAAATTCTTCATTTTCGTATTAAGTAAATCACGTCGTCGTCGTCTCTCTCTCTCTCTCTCTCTCTCTTTTTTTTTTCTACTATGTGAATATTGTTAGTTAATGGAAATACTTTCCGGGCGTGAGCAATATAACGCCGTCTCGCGTGTATAAACCTCGCAAATAATCCTAAAAAGGTGAAAACCCCATTGTATAGTAAATCGAAAACGATTTTTTTTTTAAATACAATTTTTTTCTCCCTCTAAAAAAAAAAAAACAAAAAACGTAATTGAAAATGGAATTTAATTAATAATTGAAAAATAAAAAGATTTTGTGCCGCGAAATATAACTGCAACCTCGCATGATAACTAATGAGTTGGCACACGGCCAAAGACACGAAAAGGGCTCTAGTTCAATTTTCCTCAAGTGATGTATAACACACGCCGATAAATGTTGTGACATGTTCACTGTGTAAACATATCAAATTAGACGAAACCCTTCGTTAATTTTTCATATTATTTTTTCTCTCTCTTTTACAGCAATATTTTTAAAATTTTTCCTCCCGATAAAAATTCCTAACTGTTTTTTTTTTTTATAAATAAAAATATTTACTAATTAGTTTTGAAATTCGTCAGATAATTCGAAATACTGTAAAAAAAAAAATATTCAGAAATAATTTCTATCCTAATTTTTTTATAAATAAAAAAATATTTACTAATTAGTTGAAATTCGTCAGATAATTGGAAATGCTATAAAAAAAAAATATTTCGGAATAATAAATCATTTCAGGGGAAGAAGATATAATTTCTTTTTAAAAGATGATGGCAATCTAAAGGGACATAATGAGAGTAATGTAAAAACCGTTAAATTGCACACGACAAGATCACGAAATATTTAACACAAGTTTTTTTTTTTTTTTTTTTGAAAAATTATTTACAGATATATCACTAATTAGTGGAAGTATAAAATAATAATTCTCATATTTAGAGTGGAAAATATTTTCTAAATTAAAATTTTATACATTTTCATTATATTTATTGCATTTTATACAAAATTTTCTCAAATTATTTAAAGAATCAAAAAAAGGTAAGAATAATTCTTTCGATTTTTTTAATTAAAATACCTGATTTTGAAATTAGTTAAGGGTTAAGATTTCGATTCAATAAAATTAATCAGATAAGATGAATTTTCCTTTTTGCAAATAAGAATAGGCATTCTTTCGCATATACATATTAATATCGTTCTGATACAAATGCCACGGTGAGATGTAAAAGAGAGAAACGAATATAATACACGCGTAAAGAAGCGAGAGAAGAATGAGAAGCAAATTTGCATATTAAACGGCTTGAGATTTATAACCATTGAGTTAAAAAACAGTTTGAAGGTGCGAGCAAGCAATATAGTCAATAAATAAAAAAATATAATAGTTGATCCAGACTCTTATATATTCTCGATTTAAAATCAACTCTTGTTCAAATTTTTCATTACATTATTTAGCATTTGTTATACGTCCATTTTAATTTATAATCGTACAACTAAATTTATTATAAAATTCGACAATTTCCTTTTTCCAATAATTTTTAATTTATAAAAAATTAAATGAAATTTGAGATTAATTTAAAAATTTTTAAGAAATTTTTTACTTAGAGAAAAAAGGAAGAAAATTTGTTTAAATAAAAAATTGGTTTTTAAAAATGAAAATTATTATTATTTAAAGTCAGCGGAAGCAACAGTTTACTAACACACCACGTGTGAGTCGAGAGAGAAATATATATTCGTGGTACCCCCTACGGGGCTGGTTATTGTGCCAACGAGGGACCCGTGTACTATAATTCAACACTAAAGGAACATATAAGGCCCCGCGATGTCGACGCGCCAATGAAACACATATCATAAAAGGTCATTCATCAACCCCCCTCCCCCTTTCTCCCCATCTATTAGTTCAAGCTCACCACCAATTTGTGTCAACTATTCTTTTTTTTTTTCAATCTAATCTCCCGAAACATCTTTCTTTCTTTCCTTAATTTCACACCTCGTAATTATTAAACAAAATTCGCAATTTTTTTTTTCTAAAAAAAAATTTGAATTTCGATTTTTTACTTTAATTAAAATTTCTACATAAAAGTAAAAAATTTGTAATTCTTTTCTGTAAAAAGAAACTGCGGAATAAAAATTCGGTCAGAATTTTTTTTTTTAGGATAAAAATTGAAATTCTGTTTTTTTTTTTTTTAAAGAGATGAAAAAAGAAGAAAAGACGATGACAGTCGTTGATTCAATCGTCTCTAATTATTGCTGAGAAGACACGCAGGGACAATAATAGCATCAGTCTCAGACTCTGATGTTACGGGCGGGAAAATTTAAGAGATAGAGAGAGGGAGGAAAAAAAAAAGAAAGGGATGACACTTCTCCTAGCGAGTTGATTGATGGACGAGTCGCCATGTTTATAATTAGAGGCTAACGTTTCCGGTCCCTTTACTAACTTGCCACTTGCTCGTATCGAACACATCGTTTAAATTAATCTCTTTCTCTTTCTTGCTCTCGTATCTCAAAAAGCCATATAGTATACGCGCGTGACTGATTTTGACGCATTTGCAATGTATTCTTCATTTCTCTCTTTTGTCTCTCGTCTCTTTTTGGCTCCCGCCAGCAACAAATCGATCAGAAATCCAATTTATAACAACTGTTTTCGTATCAATAAAAATTTTTTTTAATTAATTTATTTCAAGCAGGTGTTAGCAATTGAATTCATTTCGAGAGATTATTATTGTATTTTGCATATACTTTTTAATTCAAATACATACCTAAAAAAGAAAAAATAATTTCCCTTATTATATAAATCTGATCTAATTTCAAAAAAAAAAAAAAAAAAAAATTTGTTTCATTATCACTGAATTTTCAAAAAAAAGAAAAACAATATTAATGCTTGTGAACAAATTTTAATTCCCTTCAATTATTGCGTCAAAAACGCAAATGAAAACGGAAATACGCTTCTGTTTATTTCCCTTTATTTTTTAATTTAAATTTTCAGCAGATGCGTATATGACATTATCGAACCTTTTACCCACGTGGTTAAGTATATGTAGAATAAGTTAAATAATCCACGTGTGCAGGAAACGTAATGCGGGTCGCGGATACACGTGTCTTTGACCGTTTCAATTCACGTGTCTTGAATATTAATTAATATTTATTTCTCGAAACTATTTATAAATTTTTTTTAACTCTTTTTTTTCAAAAAAAAATATATATTTTTTACCAGAATATATATTTTTCATATATAGTACGTAATTTTTATATATTCTGAAAAAATATTTCTATTTTTTCAAATTATTATAAATTTTTATTTAAAAAAAAAAAAAAACTTACCCCTCTTTTGCATAAAACTGAAAAGATCATCGAGAAACTCCTTTCTGCTTGGATCATTGTTGATCTCGTACAGCTAAAAATAAAAAAAGAAAATTAATTTTTTCTATAAAAACAAAAATGGAAAAAATAAACGAACAATAAATTATTTAATAATAATAATAATGAAATTGTAACAATTTGAATTTTGAATAAAACAAATATTTCTCTCTCTCTCACTTTGTGTAACAATTTTAATACACAAACACATCTCTTATATATATATATACGAATAAATAACAGTCACAATCAATCATTCAGACATCTAAAATAATAACTTAATAGTAGCGAAAATAATTCAGTGAACCGCTGGATATAACGTAGGCGTGAATTCCGTCGCCGACAACATTGTAAATGATGTCATACTTAAGCTGAAAATACAAAATTAACGGAAAATTGTGTTATCAATTTTAAATTGAAAACAAAATTTTTTTTTTACTTTTTCAAAAAAACACAATTTTATTATACTGATGGGAAAATCAAATTTTAATTACAATATTCTAAATAATTAATATTTATTAAAAAAAAATTTATTTATTATAAAAATAAATAAATAGTTATGAAATAAACAGAAATGAAAACAAAAATTCGGACAATATAAATAATAAGGGTTGAAGAAACATTATTATTCTAAAGTACAACACATTTGGATAATAAAAACAGAAGTGAAACGAGTGTGCTCATAGCGACAGACAGATTAGTTAGAACCGATTATTAATGATACCGTTTAACCCGCGCCTCAGAGAGTCCGATTCTTCCCCCCCCTTTTTTTTTGTATGTGCGCCTGTGAGAAGGACCAAGAGCCCCTTAAGGCTAAAGCAAAAGCATATTATCATATTTGTTATGTACGATGTGCTACATCTAATCTGAGAACCTCTAATTGCTTTTATAATACGATACCCATCCCTTAAATGCTTGCTCGACAAACCACTATCACTCTTTTCTTGATTTCTCACAGCTCAAAAGAAACAAAAAAAAAAAAACTATACTAATAAATAAATACCAAGAATTTATATCCAACAGTCATTCATTTTCATTTTTCATAGTTTGAATAAAAAAAAAAATTTTCACGGCTCATTAAAATTAATTTCTTCTTCTTTTATCAATTTTTCAAAATCTAATTTGGAAATAAAAAATTGATTTTCATAAATAGGGAATGAAAAATTAAAAATATTTTAATTTTTTTAAAAGTTGTATTCAATAATACAATTTAATAATTTAATATTTAATTGCAATTTCAAGAGTGGATGTTAAAAAAAATTTTTAAAAAGGGAGAATTTTCTTTTGGAATTTATCTATATGAATTTTTTTTATCTTACGTTCTCTTCCCCTTGGGGTTAATATTTAATTCACAACCCGCCAAAAGTCGTATGTTATTTCTCATTGCACAAATCATTAAAAGAAATAAAAAAAAAAAGACAAGTGTCGAATTGTTAAAATTATGACTAAATAAAGAAGCGAGTAATTGTTTTTTCTCAACAGTTATCACTTATTATATTTGTTCCTCGTTCTTTATTAGTGCGTGTAACAAGCATTATTTATTTTATTTCAAATTACTGTCAATATTTATCAAAAACAATATATTCAATAAATTTTTGTCAAGATATTTTTTTTAAATAAATAAATTTTTTACGTTTCCAAATTTTTTTTTTTATTTAAACAATTTACATTCTTTTTTTTAAATTCTTCCAAAAAAAAGTATATGAAAATATATAAATAGTGTATATAATTCCCAAGATTTCGAAAAAATTAATTCCAGAACCTTTTTTTCTTTCTCTCTCGCACGAGTTTTGAAGACTAATCAATAATATTCCAAACAATGAAAAATTGGATTGAAAATTCGATCGTAGACGTTTTATTTTATTTATTCATTTTTTTTTCTATATAGACAGATCGATCGTCCACTTTCATTTCATATGCAATTAGTCGAAGGCGGGAGATCTGAGAAATGATCGGGTCAGCAGGATCGTGATCGTCCGATCATTTATCCGCACATATATTATTCCATTCAGTTTTCATGGCAACGCCCTCGCGCATCCAGAACAGCATTTCTCAAGGGCCATTTTGTACCATTTTCTTGAAGAGTTTTTTTTTTCTTTTTTTTTTTGAGTGTACCTTTCGTTAGTTCACGAGCGATGAGCTCGTTAGAGAAGAGAGAAATCAAAAAAAAAGAGGGACAGAGGAAGGGGGATGAAACCAGTAAATATTGATTGATCTACCGTTGAAGAGAGATGAACCACACGGCATTTAAATGAAAAGTGAAGATTGAAAAAAAAGGCAACCAAGAGATACATCTTCACTTCATTTTTGATCTTTCAAATGGAAGGTAAAAAGAAAATCGGACCGCAATTATATTTTGGATTTGAAAATTAATAAATTATTAAATTTTCAATTATATAATAATAAAATGCATGGTCTGTTCTTCTGTCCTAACTTGAAGTTGGCCTTTTCTGATTTCACGTGTTTTTTTGAATAGTAATCTTATGACGTGTCAAATTTTGACAATTCTTTTTCTCATTTTTGCCAAAGTTGTATAATTGTGTTTACAAATTTCGGAATAAGTTTCTTTAAAATTCCAAATTCGAAAATTCAATTCACGAAGCTGAAGTACACAACGTTTACCAACGAAATTTTTTTTAAAGTTGTATATTGATTCAAAAATTGTATACAAATAGAAAAAATTTATGATGAGAAAAAAGATGCGCCCGGAAATTTCGTACAAGATAGTAATTTGAAAAAAATTTATTTTTAAAAATTAATTTTTAATGTTTGAAATTATTAAATTTCAAAAAAAAATAAATTTTCGATGGAAAATTTTATAAATAATTAAATTTTAGATGCTTTTAAATTCAAATTATTGAAAATTCAATTAATTTTGAATTCAAATTTTTGAGAATAATGAAATTTTATTTTATTTTAAATTTGAAAAATAATTGAATTTCAGTTCATTTTGAATTGAAAATTTTAAAAAATAATTGAATTTTATTTCATTTTAAATTGAAAACTTGGTAAATAATAATTAAATTTTAAATTGAAAATTTTGGATAATTATTGGATATTTAATTGATTTTGAATTAAAATTTTAGGTAATAATTGAATTTTAGTTTATTTTGAATTGAAATTTTTAAAAAAATAATTCAATTTTATTGTGATATATTTTTTTAAATTATAAACTATTGTTAAATTTCATAAAAATTTTAATTGAAAAATAATTTTGATATAATTTAATTTGTGATGTATTTTATTAAAATTATTAAAAATAATTAATTTAGTGAAGAATCATTTTAGTTCAAAATTTGTTAAATAATTGAATTGAAGAAGATCTGAAGAAGATCTAAATTTTATACTAAAAAAATGTATTTTATTTATATTCTTTTTCAAATGTAAAAAAAATCGCATTTTATTAAAATAAGTCGATAAAAGTCGTATTTTTGAAAAAAGTCGGAAAAATTCGAATAATCCGAGGCCTGTAAACATATAATTTTCATTATTATCATTTAATATGTAATAATATTCTAATAAATTAAATTATTATTGATAATATTAATCTTTAATTTCTTTATAACAAACAATTAAATAGTCAATTTGGCGCGCTTGCGCGCGTTTAATTTTGCTAGTTAATTTAATAAAATCATTAATAAATTCATTAAGACAAAAATTAATTAATAAATATGTCAATTAATTAAATTAATTTGAAATTAAATTAAATTTACCATTTTTTTGCGATTTTGATATATTTTACTAGCTTGAAAAAAATTATTCTTGGTGGAATTTTTATAACTTTTGCCCTTCTTTATCTTGGAGGGGAAAAAAAAATTTGTATATCTAGTAAGTGGGTATTATAAAACTCAGGTGAAATGCATTGTGGAATATTGCGTTCTTCGTAGGCCAATTTGCCTCAACGATACTATTACTACAACAACAACTACTACTAGTGGGGTAAAACAGCCGGTTATCAGCACTCGTTATCAGCCGGAAGAGCAGCATATCTCAATCTCTGCGCGCGGATACTATACATATATAAATGTATATATACGAAAGAGTTGTGCGCATCGATAATTATTGCTCGTAAAACTAGCGACGTGTGCCGCTGAAAAGGGATCCTGCACACACACGATTCGCTCAACGCACTCGGATGCATAAAAAAAAAACTGCAAAAAAAAAATTCCCAGCTTTCCTGCTCAAATTTTTTAATATACATTTAGAAAAGAAACGCATCCTCCATGATAATTAATAATAATTTTCTTCCATGAAAATTCTAATTCTAAACAAAATAAAAACAAAACAACGAAAATGAAATTAAAAAATTAATAATGAAAAAGAAAATATGTTTTCAGAAAATTTTCTTCAATGAAAATTATAATTCTAAACAAAAAAACAAAACAACGAAAATGGAATTAAAAAATTAATAATAGAATAGAAAATATGTTTTCGAAAAATTTTCTTCAATGAAAATTATAATTCGATGAAAAGAAACCAAAAAGAAAATATCAAGAATGGAATTAAAAAATAATTTAAAATGAAAATTATTATTTTCGGAAAATATTGATATGAAAATCTCAACGACCCCTAAGACCTTTATGTCAGAAACGATTGGCGCCATTTTCCCATGAGGTCACAAAGTTCTCTATCTTTATACATGCAATAGTTGAAGTTAAAAAAAAAAAAAAATTTTTTTTTTAACGAGATGATAATAATAATAAAGTGAAATTTCCGTGTTGCTATTTTCCTGACATTGAATATATTCGGACTCGGGCGATTCACGTTTTTTTTTCTTTTTTTTTTTTTATTTTACTTTATATAATTATCTTAAATATCTTGCGATATCTTTTTTTCATTTTTTAAATAGTTATTTGATTATCGAGGTCAAAAGATTTGTGGAGGTCAACTTCCGATCGTAAAGTTTTAAGGGCGCGCGCGTCTTCATAATCTCCGCGCTCGACATAAGAATAATGAGAAAAATAAAGACTTTTACAAAGAACAAAAATGCCTTCAGGGGGTTTGTATATAGATAAGAAAAAGATTAACACCTTTTTT